GGGTGGTTTATTATTAGGGGGAGGGGATTAGCTTCGGGATGGCCTCACCGGAGTTCGGCTGCGTGCTGCAAAGGCCTCTGCCAGTTTGCTTGTCTTCGCGTTTTAGCAAGTCGGGCGTCCCTTGAAGGGTTCTAAGGCGTGCACAGGGGTTCGACGGGGACATTACAGAGAGGCATAGAAGGTATAGGGGATTGGGGATAAGCACTGAGCTCTTGTGTAAGCCATCTGTCTCGTATCCATCGAATTCCTGACAATCATGAGGACCTGTTCTGAACTAGATCGGCATATTGCGGGTCAGCAGCATTCCTCTCCCTAGTAATAACTAAAGGGAAGTATGAGCCAATACAAGTACTTTAATTCCCTAAACCCTAATCCCCGCACCCTCAAACCTACATATTCCCATACTAAACTCTAAACTCTACATATCCCTACATAGCCCCTGGTATTGCCTGTAAAGGGATCCTTACTTTTTTTAAACCCCCTTCGTGAACCCTATGGAGATGCCCAGGCGCTGCTGCTGACCAGGACTTCCTTAGTTCAAGAACAGTTCCGGTGATTGAATATGTTTTAAAAAACCGTCGACTCTTTTATGTCTAGAGAGGGCTTAGGGTTTAGGGATTATAGGGCTAAGGGTTTAGGATTTCACTCTCCATTATGATAATACTTGATCTCACTAAGGTCCGTTGTCCTAAGCCTTACCACCCTATAATGTTTCTTCCCAGTTGCCATTTCACTGTGCACTTCCGTTTCCACTGTTAAGGTGATATCCTTATATAACCCTTATAGAATCCGTACAAACAACTAAACCCTGAACCCCATGTAACCCCTAAAGCAAGTAGGTAGATAACACTAGGCTATCACAATACACCTACATAGCCTGGCATTGTTCTTGAACGGCCTACCGAGCCCCTAAACCTGAATCCCTATGTCATACCAGTTTCCATGTCCTGTTTCATTCTCTTTTTCATTTGACTGTCCGATTTTTGCATTTTGGGAGGGTCCTTCTGGCCACCCACCCAAAGTCTAGCATTTAAGGATTTAGGGCTCGGGTGTTTCGAATTCGAGGCTTTCCCAAAAAAAACTAAAGACCTAAACCCCGCAAACTTATGGTTGGAAATTTGTTGGCAGGAATGAAGGCATGGATCCCTGCAGTAGCCCCTATATAACCCATTATAAGTATAATGGTTTCCATGTTCTGTTCCATTTCATCATTCCCAGCTAACCAAAGGCCAGTTTGAGGGTTTCATGCTGGGGGTGTGGGGATTTACAAATTGGCTTCGTGCCGGAATATAATCCCTGTATAACCCCTACATAACATATTCCCTTCTTCCCAACTAACAACCAATAAGATATCTGTAGTTATTCAGTCTGCTACATTCGGCAAGG